GTATTTTTAAACTGAACATTGCTCCATGTCTATAGTTATTTGTACTTGATGAAATAGTTTAGTTGGTATTTAGAGTATTTGATGTCTTTTGAGTTTAATTTTTCTTTGGGTCAGTTTGATTTCATAGATATAATCTCAGGAAGGATGGATATTTCTAAATATAGCAGTATGGAATTTTAATGTTTAAATTATTAGTATTTATTTATTTGTCTTTTTGAGACAGGATCTTCCCGTAGCCCCAGCTGGCCTGGAACTCACTATGTAGACCAGGCTGGCCTTGAACTCATACAGATCTGCCTACCTCTGCTCCCAAGTGCTAGGATTAAAGGCATGCGCCACTATGCCTGGCTGTATGTCTAAATTATTTTAACTCTTATTTACAGATAATAATTTGATGTATTCTTTTTTTTCTTTTTTTCTTTTTTTTGGTCTTTTTGAGACAGGGTCTCCCTGTAGCCTCAGCTGTCCTGGATTTACCATAGAGACCAGGCTGGCCTCAAACTCACAGAGATCCGCCTGCCTCTGCCTCCCGAGTGCTGGGATTAAAGGCCTGTGCCACCACGTGGCCTGATGTATTCTTTTATCTCAATATTGTACCAAATTTTTTATTTGGAAAAATTACATTACAGATGAAATAAAATGAAGACTATAGTATTCTTGTAATTCTCTTTCATCAAAATTGTCTTTTTCCAGTATTTTCAGTGACAAGGATAAAAACAAGAGGTCAGGCCAGCCTGGTCTACATAGTGAGTTCCAGGACAGCTGGGGCTACAGAGGAGATCCTGTCTCAAAAAGACCAAAAAAAAAAAGAAAAATTAGAGGTACTCCAAAATGGAACTGCTTTGGAGTATTTAAAATAAGTCTCTGTTGACTTAAAAAACTATACTTTTTGAGTTTAAATTATATTTAATAATGAAATAATTTTTATCGGAGTAGTGAATAAAAATACTGAATTTTTAAAAATCATGATGATTTATGTAGGAAACAAATAGTAAAACATGATAAATGTAAGAACATAAGATTGTCTGCATTGTAGTCTCGCTAAAGCCAAGGTTAACACTATTTCTATCACTTACGGAAATATATTGAGCGAAAGTCTAAATATCTTAGATAATTATATATATATATGATTTAAGAAATATAAACATTTCAAGTTAGTAGAGATGCTAGAGGGATTTTGAGTTCTGTTACATAGGATATTCAGTTGTCAATGGAGTTGAAGATGAGTGTCACCTAGCTGTTTTGAAGACCATATGGATGTGTTCTCAGAAGAAGCTGACACAAATTGAGGAGGGAAATATGACTTTAGGAAGTTTTAGGTTTGTAGCCCAGAGGGTAGGTTAGAAGTACTGGATAAAGTTCATTCCCTCCAGTCTGAATAGGGACTTGATGTGATGCCTTTTCTTCACCAATGGATGAACTAACCTAGTTTTAGTCCTTATTTCTCCAGTTCTGTATCTCTCAGGAATTCACTGTGGAAAGACTCAAATGGCAGGGTGCACGTTTGGCATTTTTGTCTTCAGTGTACATCTATCCTTTTCTTTGAGTTACCTGCTTACCTTTTCAGGTTAGCATATTAATTACTCAAGAAAATCTGAAGGGTTTCAGAGTGAGACTTCTGCTCCCTACCATGTCCCAAATACATCCTTCAGTCCAATAGAAAACTCAAATTTGATCATGCAGTGTCAGTTTGAGGGGGTCACTCAGTCATGGTGAAGATGATATGGCTCTAGGCAGGGAAGTGTGGCAGGAGCAGGAAGCCGTCTGGTCACATTGCATTGGCACTTAGGAAACAGTGGATTTTCCTTTGTTTCTGTCTGTCACATTGCCGTTTTATTCATGTGTTGTTTTTCCAAATTTCATTTTGATTTTCCATATGTGTATTTTTGTAGTTTGCTGCACGCCCTTGAGATGATTATCTTGACTTCTTTGTCAACCATTTCATTTCTGTAGCGTTCATTAGTAAAGCTTTATTAGTTTCGTTTAGTGATTCCTTATAATCTTGTGTCCTTGCAATGGTGTCTGTATATTAGAGGAAACAGCCACCTCTTCTGGCCTTTTCAACTCTTCCCTGGTATTGACAGAGACTCAGTTGTTAGCTTGGTCTGTGGTTTTGGACGTGCCAGCGGATACTATACTGACACTGAGCAAGCAGAGCTTGCTGCTGTTCTCTAGTTGGCTGAACTGCATCTGCCTTTACTTTGATTTGGGTGGCTGTTGGCTGGGCTCTTGCTTAGTAAGACCACTGGCTGAACCCTGGAATCAGGAAGAGCTACTAGCTAGGCATCACAGGCACCCCTGATTTGGCAGAATCGCAGTGTTTATTTCCTGGTTGGTACTGTTGTTTATTTCAGGTTTGAGCAAGCCTGCAGGCTGGGTTCCAAGTGGAGGCAGTCACAATTCCAGATGAATGGGTCTAGAGGCTATGTTCTATAGCAATTCATGTGGTGTTTCCTTGGCTGGACCTGACCATAGAGTAGTGTGAGTTTGCATGGAGCCCCCTTTGAACTGCCATGCAGGGCCTTAGAGAAAGTACTGAGCTAGGAGGAGCCACTCTTTGTACTTTATGGCCATTCATGTCTAGCTTCTGTGCTTTGTAGAAGTACACTCTCACATCTCCCTGCCTGGTCCCTGAGGGGAGATTTGTGGCTGGGCATGGCAGCTTGTTCTCTAGGACCTTTAGCCAAATTATATTTTCTGGGAGTAGCCAGCTCAGTTCTGCAGATAAGGTGGTGTCTGATTAGGCACTATTCTATCAGGAACAAGAGCTACCACTCATCTGTGTACTGGTTGTTGTGAGTTCTACTTCCTTTCTTTGTTTCTTCTTGACTCTAGGGAGTCCAGCCCTGTTACCTACACTTCCCTGTGAGGTGAGGAGTGGACTTGTGCTTAGATTACTAGGGAAGTTGGACATATGCTACCTTTAAACTGTGGTCCCAGAAAGTCCTCTGTCTGATGCTGTGCCGGTGAGAGGGAGAAGTGCAAAATCGCACCATGCTCATAGTTTTCTAGTACTTTCTGTGTGGTTCTGAAATCCAGTCCATGAGTGGATCAGTCTTATTTCCAAGACTTGAGTTTTTTATTGAGATATTCTCATCTGTGGGTAGTTGATTAATTGGGACTTTGGGGCAGGGATAGTGAAGCTTGAGACCTCTTGCATCTTGCTGACCTCATGTTCTATAAAGCTTTGCATGTGCCTGATGCATTATAAGTGCTTAAGGATTAAGTGTTCCTGATAATAATTATAATGTTGTTCTTATGGAAACTAGAAGTTTTGACCTACTTGAAGACAGTGTCATCCACACAGAGGACTTAATAGGGATGCATCTAGTCAAAATGAAAACCACCTCAGTAATCTTTTTATGCCTGATTACACTGGTGGCCCAATGTTCTTCATCATGAAACACTGAATGATTTAGGCTTTTAACATATCCAAAGCAAATGTGGCGTACCTTCACTCTGGCCATAAGAAGCCCTTTTATTCCTATAGAACTTGGAGCTTTTCGCTTTCTGGTAATAGACAATGAAAATAAACAGAAAGCTTTCCCCTAGAGGAAATAAGTAACAAAACAATGTTACTTGGTAAGGCAGTATCTTAGTTTCCCTTCCTTTTACTGTGATAAAATGCCTTGACAAAAGTAACAAGGGAAAAAAGAGTTTATTTGGTTCACAATTCCAAGCTACAATCCATTATTCCAGAGAAGTGAAGGCAGCGGGAACTTGGAAGGAAGTAGCCATGTCACATCCATAGTCAAGAGCAGAGAGCCATGAGTGAAGGCATTCGTGCTAGTTTTCAGCTCTCCTTTTCATTCAGCCCAGAGCCCAGCCTATGAAGTGGTGCCACCTACATTCAGGGTCCATCTCCCTACCTCAATGAACCCAACTAAAAGCTCACCCCAGTCCATACATTTCCACACTGAGACCCCCTTCCCAGGTGATCCTATATTGTTTTGAGTCAGCAATCAAAATTGACCTTCACTGGCAGTTTAGATTAGAAAAATCTATGTCAGGAGAGAGAGGCTGTACTTGTAGAATAATTAATATAAAGTTGTTTTTTTTTTTTCTGATATTCTGGATCCAACAAGAACCAGGTGTCTGTTGAGTATATTCCTGGCTCTTGATAGAAAACCTTATTAGTGGAAGGAACGAATTCAAGTCTGTGTTTTGCACAGGCCTTTATTCATACATTAGCATAATTAAGATGGGGTGAAGAGACCAGAATGCATTGCTGTGTTACACAGTGTATAACAATCATCTGATCTGTTGAGATGTGTAGCTGGCAGCTGTCCTTTCCTGGCCAGCCTCTAAAGCCAGGCTCATTAGCTCTTATCCCTCAGAACTTAGAGCCAAGGATGGCTGCACATCATTCTTGTCCACGTTTTTTGCACAAGTGGCTGAGGATTGGTAGTGGAGTGGGTTTGCCTTCATACTACTCCTATAAATTGTGATGGTGAGACTTGGGACTATAGTGTATAGAAGGGAGTGAGTATAAATTGTTGGACTAATCAGAAAATAATAATTTTGTATGTATATACAGATATAAATGCCATTGGAGAAGCTGTATAGAAAATATTTGAGTTCATACATGTTAGATTATAACCCAAAGTAAGATTCTATGTAAAATCAAAGCCAGAAGGATTAACCAAGGTAAGAATCTATCAGTTCCACTAACTTTAAGGCTTTGCTTTGTACTTTATTTGACTTTAGCCTATTAATTAAATGAACTCTAGGAGGGAATTTTGCTGAGTCAACTGGAAGTAAAATCAGACTATCGACTGGTGGGTGACCAGGGTCAAGGAAAGGCCTGAACTTGATAATCAGCTTGTGATAGTGTGGGCAGATGTGTGTGTGTCTTGGGGCTTAATGGGAGATTATAAAGTGGGGGCGGACGGTGTTCCTTTAGAAACCAATCTCAGAGAATATTCAGGCCAAATGATTCCCCTACCAAGTCACCTCTTCAATACCGAACAGCATGGGTTAACTTCTGCTTTTCCTTCTAGACCACTGCTCTTCCAGACAAGTGAACATGTGGCTGATAGTCCCGCACTGGGAGACGTTATTCCATTCAGCATTGTTATTCAGTTTTTGTTCACAAGAGCACCCGCTGAGCTGAAATCTCCCTTCCAGGTAATAACCAAGAGCAGAATACTTGGAATTTTGCTGGTTAACTTTGTAAACACGAGGCCCTCACTGAATGGGTCACTAGCTCTCTTTTATTTAGTCATGGATGTCTGTCTTTGATAGTGAATAAAGATTAGGAAAGAAAATTGCCAATGCCCTGCACCTGTTTTCTCAGCAGTATAAAGAATTACCTCAGGGCTGGAGAGATGGCTTAGCAGTTAAGAACTCTTGATGCTCTTGCAGAGGACCCGGGTTCAAATCCCAGCACCCACATGGCAGCTAACAACCATCCGTAACTCCAGTTCCAGGGGATCCAACATCCTCTTCTGACCTCCATGGGGACTGCACAACACAGGTGCCTTTACACACATGCAGGCAATACAATCATAAATATAAGATAAAAAAAAAATTTTTTTTTAAATTACCTCATGAATCCAGAATTAGCCCTTAAAAAAATAATGTCTCAGCTGGCTATGGTAGCTCATGCCAATAATCTTTGTACTTGGGAAGCTGAAACAGAAGGATTGTGAGTTCCAGGCCAGCCTTGATTATATAGTGAGTTCCAGGCCAACCAGAGCTACAGAATGAGACTCTGCCTAAAAAATAATAAACAAAACAAAAAAGTCACAAGTAATTTTTGTTCATAAAGCTCTTTTGATAGAAGCTGCATTCTTTTGGTGGCCAGTGTTGGTTGGTAAATCCTAAGGTCTCTTGGTTGTCAGAGTTGCATGAAGGCCTGTGCCACCTTCTGAATACTTCCCTTAGGAAGTCCATGGATCATTTCACCTTGAGAGTCCTGGACTGCTGTTATAATAGCATTGCTGCATTCACTGAATGTGTATGTACTTTCTTCTCTGTGTTATGACCCTGCAGAGGGCTGAATGGTCCCATGCTCGATTTTCCCAGTGGCTGGACGATCATCCATCCGAAAGGGACAGGCTCCTCCTTCTCAGGTAAAGCTGTATGTTCTATGGGTACCATCAGGTCTGGAGGTCCAGGAGAGTAGGGGACACAGGGGACAGTGAAAGAGAGCAGTGCCTAGGCATGGACATGTGATTGTACCTCTGTCTGGGTGACCACCTACTATATAGACACCTGTGTGCTGGATCCCTCCATGGTGCACCATCAGGCCCAGAGATTTTATTCTCCCTAATTCTTCTAGACATTTACATCCTGTTCTGTGTTATTCCATGCCTGATGCAACCCTAACGAGTTTGAGTTCCAGCTTTAGAAACAACCTCAACTATAAGAAGATTCACTTTCGCTCCATATTTTCTACATCATTTTCATGTGCTAGTTATCGAAATGGTGGCACACAGATGTGAGTGAACTTTGAACAGTAATCAAATGAGACACAGTTCTTGTAGGAAAGGACAGCTCAGAAGCTGTATGTCCTCCAGTTGTGGTCCATGAATACATTTATTTATACACGTTGCCCAAGTATGCATTTGTTTCCCAGCCATGACCAGATGGATGTGTCTTTTGCATGCGACTTGTTGAGCATGTTTCTTTCATTAATACTCTCCTCTGAAATCGTCTTCAAAACAATCACAACATCTCTTTGCCACCAGACAACTGCCATTCTTACCTACCCATTCCTTAGCTTTTGCTAGAGTTGACCATTTCCTTCTTTAAAATATTTATTATTTTTAAGTGTATGCATGTATTGCCTGCATGTAGGTAAGTGCACCCATGTGGTGCAATGCCTGCGGAGGTCAGAAGAGGCCGTTGGATCCCCTGGGACTGGCACTAACAGTCGGTTGTTAGCTGCCATGTGGGTGCTGGGATTCGAACCCGGGTCTTCTGCAAGAACAACCAGTGTTCTTAACCACTGAGCCATCTCTCCACCCCCATTTTCTTCTTAAAACTCAACACATTTTAGTGGTATGTGAGGCTCTGCACTAGAAACTGAGGATGCGGAATGTGAATGCACTGTGGCATTGCCTGCTTGGATCTTTACCTGCTTCTGCTCTAACCTCTCTGGTTATTTCTTTTCCACCCATCTCATTTGCTGAATTGCTTCCTTCTGTCCATTTCTGAAACATTATTTCCCAGATTTTGTTTTTGGCTTTTTTGTCTCATTCCATCTGGACTTACAGGCCTCTTGTGCAGGTATAGGCCTCTTGTGTAAGTACAGGCCTCTTGTGCAGGTACAGGCCTCTTGTGCAGGTACAGGCCTCTTGTGGCCTTTTTTTTCATGGCCTCCAGGTCTGTGATTCACTTTTATGTGGCCCTAGGGCCAAACTTGTCTGCACTCAAATACACCACAGAAATCTGTCCAAAATGTTCAAATTTAATCATCCTTCCTCACACACCTTATTGTCCCCTCTTGGGAGGCCATGATTACCTAACCAGACAAGCTAGAAAACCATTAAGTCACCCCTCAGCTCCTGAGTAACCCTTGTCTCTAAATCCAGCTACTATCCAAATAGCTTCTAAAGCCATTCTCCACCCTGTGTACCTTGGGTCTGTGAACCCAGCTGCAGGCCAGCATGTTTTTCAGTGTAGTTGTGAGGTCCACATGTGAGGCAGTTTTCACACCAGAGGGTGCCACCTCCTGTGGCAGAGACATACTGCATTTGTCAGGTGAAAGACTCCTCTGAGCAAGCTGGCAGGTCCTTAGGCACCCCAGCCCCATCAGTGTAAGAGCGTGGCAGGGGACCCTGGGCTTGTGTCAAAGCCTCCCCTGGGCACCCATGTGGGGCAAGGTGGGCCCAGGAGGCTTCTCTTGTTCCTTGCTTCTCTGACCTGGCTAGGAAGCGGCTGCAGAAATGAGAGGGCTGCTCAGCCCACCTCCTGTTGTGTACAGCCTGGTAAGGACTGCTCTGCCGAAAGGGTTCAGATGTGGTGAGTGAGTTGGGATTTTGGCTAACTCAGAGATTTGCAGTATCTCTGAGTTTTTTGAGTCCCAAAGATTCACCCAGCTTCAACATACTTGGTAACAGAAAATGATTCAGTTAATTGAGCAGGGCTCATTTTTGTCATCTTAACACCTCGGAGTGAGTTCATCCACAATGGTTGTCCTGCTGTGGGTGTTATCACAAATCTGTTTTCTTCTCCTTTAAAGTATGTCCTGAGTGATTTCATCAGCAGTGCTATTGCTAAGCTTATATTTAGTTGGTAAAACCATGATCAGAAGCACTGTTGTGCTTTTTAAAAGCAGCCTCGTCACGCATGGCAGATCCCAAAATTTTCATGCCTGGAGCAGAAAATTGAGCCTTCCTTGGGGGATCTGCAAAAACTGCACTGTTGCTGCAGCCTGGCTCTTGGCAAGGAAGGACCTTTGTCTTAGAGCACATGCTTTTACATGCTACCTCAAAACGTGTTTGCTTCTGCATACCAAAGCATCTCTGGATGAAATCCCCCCTGTAGACAGACCCAGTGCTGGTCTTTAAATAGCAGAACATTTGCTTTAACTTCTGGGGCAAGCCTGGTGGATGCTCTTTGTTCCTCCCAGTGTCATCTGTTAGGTGTCAGAAGTAGGGCAAAGTGAGGACCAGTGGAAGTACTGCTGCTGAACAAAGGCTGACAGGATTCTCTGCCTTTCTCTCTGTTTCCTTTTGATAGTAGATGTTTTTCTGGAACTTGAATGAATAATAGTCAAGTTAATTTTAAAGTCAGAGTAATCGCTGACTCAAGAGGCCAGGTGGGGTAAGTAGGGGAAATTGCACCAATTCAGCCCCAGCAGGCAGGTGCTCCAGACGTGTGGGCTCCAGGTACAGAGGCGGCTGCCCTGCGCAAGCCCGTGTTTCTCAAGTGTTGAATATGCCTTTAATAAAGATGAAATAGGAATTTTTGATGCCAAGATTTCTCAAGCTCTGCAGAAATGATAGGATCTGCCACAAACTCATGTACTTTTAGTATTCAGGGTAAAGTTGAAGCAACACTTACTGTAGCTCTGAGGACACTTAGGTCAAAACCATTCAGACTTCACTAGCATAACGGTCCTTTCATCTAGTTACCTGAAAACAGTTGGTACAGTATGAATCCTTGCCTCTTAGCCCGCTTGCCATTCTCCAGGACCCACAGGTTAGGACCTATTTCCTCAGCGCCTCTGTATTTCTACGAAACTCCAATGTACCTGTTGATGGAGGGGGATATTGGGTGCCTCTTGGTATCCCTGCCACCAGTGCCAGCTCTGGGAACTAAACACCTGAGATGGACTGATACGGAGGACAGATCTAGGAGAAAGCTGGTGCTTAATGCCTTTGGGTATATGGTGTCCTTTATTTCAGTACTAATCACAATGAACATTTAATGCCTGACAAAAAACAGCTGTTTTCTGTAAAATCCTCTACTTGGTGTGTCACATTTAATATTGGTGCCATGTTAACACAGCTATTCCTTTAGTTCATTGTTTTCTTCTGAGTAAAGATAACTTCAGCAATCCTATTTTGGTTACAAACCAGTTGAGACTACCTCTTACATAATGCCTGGCCTGACTTCCAAGAAAGCTAATGTTTTGCTGAAGCAAATGAAGTAATTTAATAAATGCTCGAAAATCTTGCTCTGATTTTATGTGGGAGGGCAGCTTAATCTGTTTTTCTCCCTGTGGTTCTGATGGTGTTTTTGACAAAGAGCTAACCACACTCATTCCTGAGCTTCCCTGTATATGGTGTGTAATTTATGTAGTCTTATCCTTCAGAATGCAAATGAAACTGCCAAGTAATGCATTCATTGGACACAAGTTTCTAGAAATTTTCACATTTCTTTGGTAAATACGTGCGCGCGCACGCACGCACACACACACACACACACACACACACACACACACACACACCCCATTGCCTCAAAGATGACTGAGCCCTTGGAAGTTTCTTTACTGTGTTCCAGTCTGTTAAGGACATTTGTGTAGTGGGACAACTGCCTGAAATGGCATAGCAGAAGTATCAAATTTCTTCGTAGAATGGTTCATTAAGGGTCAGCTCTGGTATCAACTGAAGCATCTCACAAAATATTTTTTTCTAAGAGCACTAAATTCCATGTTGTCTGGTAGTTCAGAATTATGTATTAGTGGGAATTTGAGAGTAAGCATATGATCTGAGTAACAGGAGTATCTTGTTTGAGAAGCTGGCTTCTTAAATAGCCTGCTCATCCCGCCACATAGCCATCTGAAAGAACTCACTCATGCCCTCAACACAGCATGGAGCCAGCCACCAGGGATTTCAGAATGCGGGCACTGTATAGTCAAGGCTGTGGATACAGAAGTCAGGCCCTTGCACAAATGTGACTCTAGAGTAATTCCATTCTTTTTTGCTTTTTGGAGTTAGAAGAGGATTTATTGCAAAGGAAGCATTTAAAGCTTAGTCCAAAGTGATAAAAACCTGTTCCAGGGTTTTTATGCAATGAAAGGGCATTCCAAGGATAAGGGGGACAATGTGCAGAGGGTGAGAATGTATCTCTTTAACTGGGATACTTAGTACAGCCAAAGCCAAAGGGCTCTCTGCCAGCCCCTACCTTACTAGGGAACTGATTTCAATGAACAAATACCCTTGACCTCTTCTTCCCTGACTGGGCGTTGGGGCTTGGGCTAGTAATGAAGGAAGCACATTATTTGTTAGCAGCGAAATGAACTAGAGTCTTGAGGGTCTTTTTAGGCTACATTGACCTGTCCAGAGCCTGGAGAAGCACAGAAGGGCTGGGCAGAGGTTAATGATAGAGCTGGGTTGTTTGGGCACCATTTTCTTGGGAGCAAGAGATGCCAAGTGGGGAGCCAGTACTAGGACAACCACCAGAGGTGCCATCAGCCATCACAAGACAACAAGCATTGGTCTACATAGTGAGTACTAGGCCAGATGGGGACCCTATCTCAAAAAAACCAAAAAGAAAAAAAAAAAAAGAATTATGTAAATGAGAGGGTAATTTTATTATATTTCTATTGAAAAGCTCAAATCTGAAAGTGGAAATGGGTGGGGTGAATTTCACGACTTGGTAACTGACTGGGTAAGTGCGAAAGAGAACTTCAGAATACAGAATTTCAGATTGATTCCCTTAATTGAAGGAAGGGCAGGCAGAGAACACTGTACCAGATAACTGATAGGGGGCACTGAAGAACACCCAGAAGCAAATGTTACAGAAAATGTCCAAAAGACAGCTGGAAACCAAAGTCCTTCACCATAAGTAAAGGGGAAAGAAAGGAATACATCTGACCAAAGTTGAACATTCCAGGGTTTTGGAACAAATAATACCAGCACCAAAACAGTTAAGAATTATGTAAATGAGGCTGAGTGTGGTGGTGCATGCCTTTAATCCCAGCACTTGGGAGGCAGACAGGCAGAGCTCTCTGAGTTCAAGGCCAGCCTGGTCTACATAGTGAGTACTAGGCCAGATGGGGCTATAGGGAGACCCTATCTCAAAAAAAACCAAAAAGAAAAAAAAAAGGAATTATGTAAATGAGAGAGTAATTTTATTATATTTCTATTGAAAAGCTCAAATCTGAAAGTGGGACCCATTTGTTTTTAGCTCTTCCTAAACAGATGAACTAGCTTGGGAGTTAGTAAACTTTTCCCATGAAGGACCAGGCTGTTTAGACTGTCTGGGCTGAGTGAGCATCTACTCTACCATGGTGGCGGAAAGTGGCCCTAGGTGACATAGAAAGGAAAAAGCCCAAGGCTGCATGGTGCTACAGGCATACGTTCAAGCTCATCACATAATTTGCCAAAAACTAAGGACCCCCAAATGTAGCTGTAGGCTGCTCAGTCTACAAAATAGCAGGAATGTTGTTATATGCTTATTAGTGTTACTGTGTGTGCAAAAGGGCCCATCCCCCATGACCCTTGAGTATCTTGCCCAAGGTGCTATCTCCCCTACTGAGCTTTTGTGAACACAGAGCTTCTCAGGAGCCTTCAGGAGGGAAGTAGGGAAAAGGGAAACAGCCCATCTTTGCAGGCCAGAGAAGCACTTCTGAATATGTTAAGACTGGAAATGGTTGGACTTTCACCTCCCTAACTGGAGTAACTATTGCAGCACTCCTAGTGTTTGTTCAAAAGCTGCTGGCCACTTGCGCTGTGGAACTGGGCACAACAGTTCCAGAAACTGACCTATTTTTCATATTGCTACAACCTAAACTGTTGGATTAATAGTTTGATACTGTTTCCTTTGTGTTTTCTAGGGGAGCCCTGGAAGCTTATGTTCAATCAGTGAAAAGTAGAGAAGGCAAAGAATTTGCACCAGTTTACCCCATTATGATTCAGCTGCTTCAGAAAGCTATGTCTCTTCAGTGATGTGCAACCTGTTCATCTCCACATGGCACTAACCCATTCAAAGGTGGCAGTTAGATACACTGAGTGCTACTATCTACTAAAGATCAGTTGACTCTTCTGTATTTCCTGTTGATCTATTGTTTACCTCTAGCACTTCTACTATGCCAAATAGATTCATCAGCACAACCTTTAAATTGTGTGGACCTGATTTTTTTCAAAGATACTATTCCTTTTTTCTTCCTTTCTCAGATTTTTGTACAAAGTAAAATTTTTCCTCATCATGCAATTGGGTTCCCCCATGTTACCATGTTCCCACTGCTTGTAAAGGGATAGGATCAAGTTACCTTGCTTCCCCTTGACCTTCCCCTTTCTTTACTTATGAGTACATAACTCAGTGATTCCCAAGTCTTGATTCAGGTTCACATCACCAGGGAACCTCGTAAATATTCTGATGCCCAAGTTTCACCCATGCTAACTGGCATACCTGAGAGTACGTCAGACATCAGTATTCTTATGACTATATCCTGAAAGTGATATTAATATGCAGCAAAGTACAGTGATTCTGACAGAACCTCAAAGCTGAGACAGACTCGTGCTTAAATATCTTCTTTAAATGTTATACTACATCTTTACATGAAGCAAGGGTTTCTTCATACTTTGTCATTTTATTAAACACACACCAGGAGCTTTGAAACAAAGACAAGTTAAAAAATAAATTTTTTTCCTGCAAAGGTTCTCTATAAATAGTAATATAAGTTCTCATTTGCTATTGTCCTTACTCCATTATTTACATTCTTTGAATTTTATTTTAAAAATATTTTATATGTAGGTAAATGCAACCATGTTGTGCAATGCCTGCAGAGGACAGAAAAGGTTGTCAGATCCCTTGGACTTGGAGTTATGGACAGTTGTTAGCTGCCATGTGGGTGCTGGGATTTGAATCCGGGTCTTCTGCAAGGACAATGTTCTTAACTGCTGAGCCACCTCTCCAGCCCATTATTTAAATTTTAAAACTCCATCAATAACCTAATTATAACACCAAACTCTTCATTTAGGATTTTGTTTTCTGGGGCTGGAGAGGTGGCTCAGTGCTTAAGAGGATCCAGTTTCAGTTCCCAGCACCCACATGGTTGCTAATAACTGGCCAAAACGCCAGTTCCAGGGACTCTGATGTTCTCTTCTGGGCTCCAAGGGTACTGGATGTCAAGGGTGCACTTACATACATACAGGCAAAATATTCATACACAAAAATAAATTTAAAAATTTTTTACATTTGTTTTCTACTTCCTAATCATTCTGACAACTATAATATATAAAATTCAGTCAAGGGCAATCAAAAATCAGAGGTAAACTTTTTTTCATTTTATTTGAAATAATATACAAGAATATAGTGTGCAAAATTGAGGGGCAACATCATGAAGAAGTGTGATGAACTGAAATCAGTTTTACAGCTGTGATTCCTAACCAAAAATACCACTTGGTAAGTAACATAAGAAGCCATGATTGTAGCACAGAGCAAAAGCAGCTAAATCGCCAATGTATTTGCTCTCATTTTAGATAGTTGGAGGGAAAGTAAAGTGCAAGTGTTGCACTGCAGTAAGTGCAAAGTCTGCCCCCACCATAAAGATATGATGACAACATATATTTAAGATATGTGGCTGAGGAGATATAGAACAAAGTTAAAAATACAACGGTGTCAACTGTTAATAGCACCATTACAGTGACTATCCCAATGCTATTAACTATTGGCGGGCTTGGTCTCCACTGGAAATCATGGAGGAGTGCTGCCACCTGCTGTACACACTCAGCATGCCCATGGTAACTGAAGCAGGTGGCTCTTTTTGCCGGGACAATGACACCATCCACCCGCCACGTTATGTAGTCTCTTGGCACCGGCCAGACTAGAAGCGACTGTGTTTGGCACAGATGCTAGGCCATGTGGTGGCTGCTCATGGAAAGGCCAGCTCCCAGCTTCTGCTTCATTCCTGATGTCATGTGTACAATATAGATTAATAAGCAGTAAGGAGCCGATTTTATAAACAGCAGTTACATATTTTTAAATTCCCCTTCGTACAATTTAATATAACATGTATACACATCTCCTCTCTTTCTACTGAACTTTAGCACCACAGGATATCAATTTTCAAGCCTATATTACCTGATAGACATATATGAAGTTTGGAAGGAAAATAAGGCAATTTGGTTTACAATGTTGATAGTTGTAGCTTACTTAATGCTCTAATGGAGAAAGCAAATCTTCACTCATTACATCATTTCAAGACTCAATGCTACCGGTATCTTATGGTCACACAAATTCAGGACAAAAGGTGAGACCTTGGTCTTTCCATCCAGAGTCAGTATTTATGCAGATACAGACTTCTGACACATCTCGGTTTAATGTTGTTGAGAGCCCTGTGGAAATAAAATTAAACTCAGTGAAACCTCACAAATCAACACTCAGTAGTCTCCTATATGAAAGATCAGATGTATAAGATGATTACATATTTCCTATGAAGATTGCTTTCTCAAAGTTTGCTAATAGTGTAAGTCTCCAGAAAATTTATGAAAATGAGAGAATAACATAAACAGAAAATGGATGTTGGTAATGTCCCATATGAAATCCTAAACAACAGAGAACTTGGAGCTGGAGAGATGGCTCGGCAATTAAGAGTACTTGCTCTTACAGAGGACCTGGGTACAGTTCCTGGCACAAATGTGGAGGCTCACAACCATCTGGAATGTCAGTTCCAGGGGATCCAATGCCCTCTGTAACAACTGCAGGCACAGATGCATGTACACATATGCAGGCAAAACACTCATACACATTTTTGAGCCAGAGTCCCCTTTTAGTCCCAGCTGGCCTGGAACTCACTATGTAAACCAGGCTAGCTTTGATCTCAGCACATGCCTTTGCCTCCTGAGTGCTTGGATTAAAGGAATACACAACCACGCCAGCATACAAATAAAATATTTTAAAAATTCAAGAGTTTAAACAGAGCACTTGTAGGACTAGAGATGTGACTTTAAAGAGTGCTGTGCTTGCCTAGCAAGGCACCAAATCTTAGGTAATGACCCCAGCACTGCATAAAATCAATGTCTACAGTAGAAGGCAAGACCGAAACCCAAGCTTGTCCTCTGCCCCTACCACATGTGTCTGCACAAACACATACATACACATATAAAACCCAGGTGTTGTGTTACACAGCACTTAGAAGGTAGATCGGAAATTGAAAGTCATTGTTGACTATCCAGCACTTTTGAGGCCAGCCTGGGCTACATGAGAGCTTGACTGAATAAAATAAACCTTCCAGAATCAAGATAAACTACCTCTAACAACTGACTACTACACTTTGATAGAAAATTCTTGCGCCATTTAACCTGCATATTACACAGAATTACTTTAAAACATCCTTAACGAGCCTTCTTTCTGTTAACCTCATCTTTTCATTTTTTTCCAACAAAATAAAAAATCATTCTGTTCTGGCATATGCAGTTTTTTGGCAATTATTCTAAAACATTCAACATTAAGGATGATGGGTCTAGTAAAGAAAATTTGTAAGAATTGAGTCTATCCAAGATAGCATTGTGAAACTTTTTTTTTTAATATTTTATTTATTATTCTTATTTTATGCGTATGCGTGTGTTGCCTGCATGTAGGTAAGTGCACCCTGTCGTGCAATGCCTGGGACTGGAGTTACCGACAGTTGTCAGCTGCCATGTGGGTGCTGGGATTCGAACCCGGGTCTTCTGCAAGAACAGCCAGTGCTCTTAACTGCTAAGCCATCTCTCCAGCCCCCTGTGAAACTTTTTTATATTACCACATTTCCTAGGCCTTTCCTTCAGTGGTAGAATTCTGCTTAAATGTTACTTACTAATTACAAGAAGAAAGGCTGAGGCACACTACCAAAATTTTAGAGAAATTTTCTACTGTACTGTTAACAGGCTAAAGATGCCCATCTTTCAACTAAACTAGAAACATATTCCAAAATAATCTTTCCACCTCAACATTTAGGATATTCTTTATAAGCTGGCTTGAAATTTTGCTTTCCATTACTATGGAAGTTCCTAGTGGATAAAAAGAAAGGCAGTCTTTGCTCCTATGCTGTGAAAATATTACTAGGTTTGAAGTATAATAATGCTATGACGTAGCATCCACCCAACCTTTAAAAGCTCTAACAAGTGCTCCAACATGTCAGTACACCGATGGGGTAAGTCAGTATCATTTTAAGAAATTACTTGCTAACTTGTACCGAATTTGTTCTTTTCCTTTTCCAACAGTCAGGATTTAAACGCTTTTGTTCTTCAGCCAAAGCCTTTGCTTCTAGTGTATACATCCTTCTTTCTTCATTCTTCATTTTCTTCCACCTATCACCAAGGATCACACTTATGGCTCTGTAAAACAATATTTGCATAATGTAAACTTTTCTTAAAATTCTTTTCAACTGCTGATACTACAGGCAGAAATGTAAAAACAAAGTTTAAAAGCTTATCTAACACAGAGAAGGAAAGAGGTAAAAGCTATCAGTCATTTCCAGCAAAACCTCAAGTCATATGAGTCCATTTATCATAACCTTCTCAGTTCATAGTTCTGGAATAGTACCAATATTTCCAATTGCTGAAAGACATCTAAAATGGCTAGAAATTATTCTCCAAAGTTAGAAAATATTTAAATTACCACTAGATCTACTGTTATAATGGTCTTAAAAAGATGTTTAAGATACAAAAGTTCAGTATCAGCAGCATAAAGTTTTCAACTTGTACTAAAAAATTCTCTTGTGCTTTACAATCCATCAAAGTCATCGTGGTTATTATAGCTTCTTTTTCATTCATGCGACCAAGTGGAAATGTAGCGGAAACTATCCTTGACTTATAGTTTATCTCTTATAATAAAGTACACTTTAGGTCATGTTTAGATTTAACACATGAGAAACTAGATTAAACTCAAAAGGGTAAAGAGGAAATCAAACTGATAGGATACCTCATTGTACACAGTTCAAACAATTTTCCCATTTAACTAAGTCATTCTGCTACCACACCTATTAAAGCACTTTCACCAAGAACACACATTTCCACATTCCGTGAATCATTTTAGCTATTCCATGGCACTCAAACACGAGAATACTGGAATGACTGTAGAGTACAGAACATGATTTCTGTCCCACGTGGTTAAGAAGCCACAGGCAGGCACTGGTGC